AACAATGGTAGGTGAACACATACCAGGCTCCAGCCACAGGATTGAAAGTGTGAAATATTCCCAGTGGCGTGTTTAAAGAAGCTCGTTACAAAGTAGCAGGTAAGTTCTGCTTGCCTCAGGAGTCGCACTGAGCTGTGAGCTGAGCCTCATCACACTGAGCTGTGTTGTATGCATAATGAAATGGGACAGGGTAAAGGGCCACTGGGTCGGACCCTTGCTGAGGAAGAGCAAGGGGTCTCCCTTCTGCTTTTAGCAACCAGTTGGCTGTTGATCAGGTCTAGACAACACCAAAGTTAGGGGAGGTTGGGGTCTTGATCTAAACCTTGTCATCTAGACTGAGTTCTTAAGAGCAATAAAAAAAACCCAACAAACCCCCCCAAACCCTTGTGTAAATGTGGAACCAGAATCAGTAGAAGAGATCCCTTTGGGTTTTGAGCTGGGGAGGAGAATGTTGGTGAACAATCAATGAGCAATTGTAGATGGCAGACTGTTACTACACAAAGGGTGTGTCCACACAAGATGCTTTATTGCATAGTAGACTGTGCAGTAAAGCGTCACGGTCTACACATGCTCACCATTTACTGTGCAGCAAATTTAGTTTACTGTACAGTTAGCTACTGCCTGTAACTACAGTAGATACTGCATGGTAAATACAATACCTGTACTGCCTGTAAATACAGTAGATAGTGCATGTGTAAATGCTGACCAGGAACAAATTTGGTCCCACTCAGCCCCAGCACCAGGGGGCCACTGGGGATGGGGAACTCCGCTGGACCTGGCACTGCTTAGCTCCTGGATCTGTGCCTGACCCCTGTCCTCGTGCTGCTCAGCTCCCAGCTCCTCACAGGATTTCCCTGAGCAGCCAGGGGCTGGTTGGGAACTGCCCCAGAAACGGGATAGCTGCTGGTCATCCCTGGCTGCATGGGGAAACCCCACTGGGCACCTGGCTTGTCCCCATGTGCATGGGGCTGGGAGAGCTCTGCAGCAGCAGCTGCCTCCAGGCTCTGTGCATCTCAGGACCCTGCTGGGCACAGGACTGCTGATGTGCACAGTGCCAGGAAACAGCTGCTGCTGCAGCCAGCAGAGCCCTTCTGGCCCCATGTGCATGGAGACAAGCCCCCGTGCTCCCTGCTGGTCCCCAGGCTAGCACCCCAATGGACCCTCGAGCTCCCCCTGGCTGCTGTAGGGGGCCAGAGCAGGGTAAGAGCAGCTCTGTACCCGGCTGCTCCTGTTAGGAGCAGATTTGTTCCCAACAGAGGGCACATATAGAAATGCTTTCAGGGAAAGCTTACTGCGCAATACTGCACAGTTAACATTAATAGTATGTGTAGATGCGCCCAAAGAGAGGTAATTAGTCATGTTAGTCTGAAGTCAATCAGAAAACAGGGTAAAGATGTACCTTATAGACTAACTGAATCAGAGATGCATAAGCTTTCATTAGCAAGTACTTAATTCATCAGACACTATGATGAATAATAGTATGAGTCGCATCTGATTAAATGAATTCTTGTTCACAAAAGCCTATGCAGCTTTAATACTGCATGGTGCTGCCTGATTGCAAACTCTGCTTTGTGACAGTGGACTGCAGACCCCAAGGTGGTGCACCACAAGGGACTGCATGGCACCAGTGGGAATGTTTGGAAAATCCTGCAATCTGCTCTGTGCACTGGCACGTCAGAGGGCTGGTGACATGTAGGGGCACTGAGCAAAGGGAAACAGCAGTGAGAAGGGACTAATGGGTTTGATTTGGGAAAAAGGTTAGGCTGAATCCTGGCAGTGCTATCTGGGATTTGTCAGTACAGCTGTCACAGATAGTGTTGGAGATCTTTGCTTGGGTCTTTGGACTGGACACAGCTCAGGAGCACAGAAGGTAGGGAGTCACTTTGTACAGGCCTCTGCAAGGATGACCTATGGAGCATGTGTATATCTCTTCCATTTCTAGCTGTCTTGATTCTTTGTTAAACTTTTACTGCCATCTGGTGACTCCTGTTGGGGGGGTGGAGAACAGTTAAAATAAGTTATTTACTATCTCAACAAGTTGCCTATTTCCTCTTTTTCCCCCTCTAGGTCCCTCTGTATTGCATTTGCCCCACTCATTCTTCTAGTTAACCATCTGTCCATGCAAACAGCAGAAACAAAGCCAAACCTGGTCAATTTATACCAGAGCTCACAGCATGACTGATTTTTAAAAGAAACCCAGCCCCATCAAGATCACATTATAACCTATGTATGCTCTCTCTCACCACCACAGAGTATAAACCAAGCTACATCCGGAATCGTTCTGTCCGCTCTGTGTCCATTGAGCTGAATGGAGAGGCTTATAATTTGGGTTTGGAGGATGGGTACCAGCCTGTCTTCCCAAGGAATATCACAAAAAGGCACAAACTCCAGAGGGATGTGGCACGAGAAGAGGACGACAAGGACATTGGGGAATACAGTGGCACAGGAGGCCTTGCAGAGTACACAGCCCCTAATCTGATCAAAGTGACACACAGGTGAGTGTGCAAGGCATGCCTCATGGGGCAAGTTAGGTAAATACCAGAGCCTTTCTTTGGATGAGCAAATATCTGGATTCCCATACCTTTGGTCACTGGCTCCCTGATCTGGCAAAGAAGACTAGAAGCCTGGACTGAGTTTAGCAATGGTCCTGCAGCAGCCAGCAGGATGAGGGAAGTGAAGGGGTATTTCCAAAGTTCTGAATGTTGCCTGATCTTTGTTCCCTTTGAAGTCCAAGGCTAAACTAAAATCAAAGACAATCCCACCACAAATATATGT